AGGTGTTTATAAGAGACTTAAATTCCTTAGGTAGTGAATTCAAAACAAAGTCTACCATCATATCTTTATCTATAATCATATCCATCTCTTGCATTTTTGACCTAATGCCGATCATATTCATGATGTGAGCTCTTACACATCCTTGCCTATAATATTTCATCTCAACTAGTTGGTTTAGCAGTGTGCTTTTCAAAGTTTTCTTAGACTCTTTGAATCTTTCTGCAATGCTCTCATAATATTGCTTTGCATTCTTAGATTTGGGAATGCTTCCTTTCACAGATGATGACATATACCTTTGCATAATCAGCATGGTCATGCAATTTGTCTTCTCCCACTTCTGGTTCTTGGAGTAGATCTTCTTTGAGAACAACATCATAGTCCAAAAACCCCAAGGATATTTGCATATCTTACTTCCAATTTTGATAGTTTGATACAATCAGAGTTTCAATGGATTGATAGTTTGAGGTATTCACTGTAAATAATAAATAAATTGTTCCCATGGTTCTGTATCTAAACATTATCATCTCACACATGTGGGTTGTTAGTTGAACATATTCCAAAGCATTGAATTAGGGTTTGAATAGAATTCCTGCACAAGTAAACCTCTCATTTGTGGATCGAGAAGGTTTTTTATTAGTCTGTTCAATCCTTTCATTCACACTAATCCATCACATCTGTTATCAATTTGTATTCTTTCCATATGTGGATAGAAATAGCACAAAAGGCTACTAGTTGTGATGCAAATCTTAATCAATCTGTTGATTGACAATCACTTTGTAACATTTAAGCAGTTATGGCTTATTTAACTTATAAAACTGAAAATTCACAGTCTTTCATCAATAGCCTTCCAAGCATGATTGAGCATAGAATCTTGAAGCCCTTGATCATACCTTGTCACATAAGATATGCAATTGTTTTTAAGCTACATGCTTCATGACTAATGATCAAATTTAAAGATGAGGTTTATGCATACTTGAAAAATCGAAAAAGTTCGATTAAAGAACAAGACCTAGTGCTCTGATACCACATGTAAGTTCTAGCATGCCTTTGAACCTCAAAATTAACCTTGGTCTAACATGGTGAATATAAATCTTCTTATCTACTTGGTTCCTTAGCTCTCTCTAGATGGGGTGAGATTTTCTGTTTGAGTGTGTTTAGTCGATAAGGAAGGGACATCTATTTATAACAATTACCCTAGTATCTTGCCCATCAAGAAACACTTGAGTAAAACTCATTGCATTAGGATAGGTTGTTTCAATTTATGTGTAATTAGAAATCCTCATGGCTCTTGTGTTTCAATTTAAATACACTTAGAACAAGAGCTGCAGACATGTTAAAGTTGTATATCGTGATCAATGCAACTCTTAAGTGCACATGTGATTAGAAGACCACAATCATGGTTAAAACAAGATATTGTCTTACAACGATTACCACCATGCTACCAATGGGCTCTTAACCATTGGCATCAGTGCTTGGTTTCTCACGCAAGTGGACCAACGAGGACGTTCTCCTGAGCACCCTTCCCTTACAAGCCAGGTTTTAAGGGAAAGTTCTACCCATGAGTTCTTAACATATATTTGAATTTTTTTTTTCCTATGTTAGTATGCATTCAAGAATTTACCTTGAATTCAAATTCTTACGGACAATGCTAGGGGATCCTAATTTTTTTCTTTCAAATTTATTTATTTTAAAATTAGGTGGCACTCACACATATTTGTTATTTTTTATGCAACTGTTTGAGGTTGTCAACATAATAATTTGTTTGGTATTTGCCTAGATCAAAATGCCCATTTGGTTGTAATATTAGGTTTAGGATAGCATAAGTTTTGGCCATTGATTCCTTGATCAAGAATGTGGAAAGCTTCAAAGAGGATATTTTTTAAAGGATGAAGTTTATGAAAAGTTTGGAGTTGCGATAACTTCATCTAGATCATGCATTCATAAGTTTAAATTGACGATGATTTTAATCATACTAATATGCATAGGTTGGATTATAATTTTTGTTCCACATACACAAATATGGAAACATTGTCTTCGTTCTTAATCAATCAACATAATTACATAATCGATCAAGTTTTATAGATTATCTTTTTTATGGGTGTTCACTTCGTTTGTTTCAGCTAGGCTATAAGTATTTTTCTGAAACATTTTTCGCTTAGAAGCTTGAGCAGAGATACTTACAATTGAAAAAGCCAAAGGCCTTCTAAGACCTTAACCCTTTTACAATATGAGATTGAGTTTCTTTTTCCGTCTCTTTTGACTTCAAATATGTACTTCTACTTCATGAGGATCATTTAGATGTTGGAAGATGAACTTTGAATATGTTTTTTTCCTCCCTTTTGAGTAGAGTTCATATTGTAGATCTTACATGAATTTATCACGAAGATTGCATCTAACTTTATTTGAGTTGCCGATATGAGTTATTAACTTCAAAGGTATTAATTTGACTTAATTTTTTCATTGTGTTCTTTGTATCCATATTATTTTTCATAGTGGATCATCAGCTAGCATATGCCCTCAGTTTTACCCAGTTATGGGGTTTATACATAATCATGTATCTTGTGTTGAGCGATCCTAGCTTACTTGATGAGTTTGTTTGGATTTAAGCCTTGATTCGAATTGAGTTGATTAAATGCATTGAGATATTGACTAAGTAGTGCAAATAAAACACAAATTTGATGACATTTGTCTACACACACGAGCTGTAATAAATTTAATTAATTGAAATAGAACAAAATTCGTTCCATTGATAATCTGGCGAACTTTGTTACCAAATTTTTGCTGAAGCCCACATTCCAAAATATTGTGTATTATAACTACGTCGAATTTTAAAACGATTTGATTGAAGGATGCAGTTATCTAGAGCATCTAAAAGTATGCTATATATATAGTACGTACTTTTCTTTCTTTCACCTAGGTTTTTATTCCACTCGATTTTTCCTAACAAGGTTTTTAACTAGATAGCATTAAGTGTGCCCAATGTGATACTGATGATCTAGACAAAGATTATACAAATTTTTCTTCATGTGTTTTGCCTTTATTCAGCTTAGTTTTGCTAGTAAGGTTCTAATTACAGTTGGGAATTTATAACCAAAAAAAAAAGTCCTAATCAGCTAAACCAATCATGTATGTCCGGTTTGGTGTATTTTTATTTTTATTTTTTTTTATTTTAGAGTTTCATAATTGAAAATATTTTATTTTGAGTGCTGCTAAACGAACCCTAAAATTAATCGAGTACACCATACTACAAAAGTATATATTGAATTACTGATTTACCCTAATATAAAATGACCAAAAAGGATATATGGAATTGTGAAATAAATATAATTTTAATAAGTACACCCTACTAACCATATTGACCCTAATCAAGAGATTACTTGGTCCCCATCTTTGTGATCCGCGAGTCAGAATAGCTTGGAGCAAATGAAGCCTTCTTTCTTTCTTTTGGCAACTTGGATTGGACAACTTAAAAAGCAGCCTTCAGTTCGGTGACACATCTACTCGACGTTGGCTATTTTTTAGAAGGGTGCTTTTGACTTGGTTGTTGTCAATGTTGACGAGTTCTGCATATTGATTGGAGAGCTTAAAAAGTAGCCTTGCTGTTTCTTGATATGAGTAAATAACATGAAGGTTTCAATCTATTCTGTACACTTTAGAATCCAATTAGTCTTTAATTTTGCATATAAGCTTGTATACATGGTGAAATTTTATTTTAGTTTATTGTTTCATGACATAACTTCATATAAATTAGTTCATTAATTATTATATTCTATTTCCTCCTCCTATGGTGAAATTTTCTCTTCTGTCGTGACCTGAGGCATAGCTCAGGAATTATTGCCCTCACTAGCCTTTCTACTATAAAGTAATGCTCCATTTTAATTGCTTATTTATTTATCTATGTATTTGGATTCCTATCCTAAGGAGTTTCAAAGCCTCTTTTGTACTTTTGAAATTATGCAGATTTGCAAATTGGGTTACTTTTGAAATTTTAGAATGGATGCTTCATACATTTCTAGGGAGTCATCAAAAGAGGTATTAACTTTGATTTTTATTTTTGGTTTAGGCTAAAGCGTGCTTACCGAACAATGACAAATATGAGGGTTTTTTTTAGCAGCATCCAAAAGATGTATCTAAGCAAGACACCAACATCAATAAACAATGTGTTTTAGACTACAAAAATGAATTTATCACAAACGAGGTAAATTTATGAATATTTATATATTTATTTTATAACTCCATACATTAATTTAATTTTAGTGATTTTACAGATATTTGTTAGTCGTGATGTATTAATAAGATGGACTCGTGAACAAGGGAAAAGGAATGGCTTTGTGATTATCATTAAAATGTCTGATATTGGAGGAGCTGGTAAATTCAAGACCGGTTTAATTCTATTTTGTTGTGCGAGGGGTGGCCAATTTAGGAAAAAAAAGTTCTGGAATCAGATAGCAAGACAATACATAAGCTTGATCAAAGTTCAAACCCTCCAAAGAAAAAAAGTGTGAAGTCTACCAGTACGACGAAGTGTGGTTGCCCCTTTTCATTGAAGGGTGTGAACTGTGGTCCTGGAGATGCATGGCAACTTGAGGTTGTATGTGGAGTTCATAACCATCCTGCAGCACTAAATATGGAAGGGCATTCATATGCAGGGAGATTAACTGTGGAAGAGAATTTACTAGTGGTTGACATGTCTAAGAGTTTGGCTAGGCCAAAGGATATACTATATACTCTTAAACGTAGATATGGGTTAAATGTGACCATAATGAAAAGAATCTACAATGCCAGACAAAAAAGTAGGGTGATTGAGAAAGCAGGTATGTTAGAGATGCATGTATTGCTATGAAAGTTGTTTGCCCATGAGTATGTAGAGTGGCATAGAAGCTATGGTACCGCTAATATTGTACGTGATTTGTTTTATGCTCACCCTACAAGTATTAAGCTACTGCGCACATTTCCTCATATTTTGATAATGGATTACACATACAAGACAAACAGGTTTTGCTATCCACTTTTGGAGATTGTGGGGCTGATGTCTACACATCTTACATTCTCAATTGCATTTGTTTATCTTAGTGCTGAGAAAGAAGACAACTACAGATGGGCATTGGCTAGACTAAGGAGTGTTATGGATGTTAATTCGATTCCTAGTGTTATTGTCATAGATAGAGAGTTAGCTCTCATGAATGCACTCCATGAAGTCTTTCCTGGTGTTTGACATTTATTATGTACATGGCATATTAATAAGGGAGTCTTAGAAAAATGCAAAAATGTATTTGAAGACAAAGCTAGTTCAGACAAATTTTTAATTTCATGGAATATGCTTGTTTCTTCAAACACAGAAGCCGAGTATGAAAAACTTCTACTAGCCTTGCAGACCAACTTCAAAGATCACAATTCTGTCATCAACTATGTGAAGGAGACATGGTTGATTCCTTATAAAGAAAGATTTGTTACTGCTTGGACAAACACATGTATGCATTTTGGGAATACAACATCAAATAGATATTTATTATTGATTTTTCAGTTAATATTTATATAGCATACATTATATATTACTTCACATGAAACATATTGCTACAATATACAGGGCGAAGACTGCACATGTAAAGTTGTAGAAACAACTTGGTAATAGCATGTGTACATTTGGAACATCACGAGACAAAATTCATTCTTTAATAGAATTGCAACACACTGAGATAAAGACATGACTGCAAGAAAGAAGACTTCAAGGAGTTGATTGGTTTTGTATCTATTTCTGCGTAGGATAATATTATGGTTGAGTTGAAGCGGTTAGATTATATTGGGGTTGATCCGTTATCATGTAGTTGCATAATAAAACACACACACGGATTACCATGTGCACATGAGATGCAGAGTTCAAACGGACTCATAGGCCTATTCCACTTGATTGTATTCATATCCTCATTGATGGAAGTTAGATTTTTTGAAGCCCCAACCTACTGCTACACCGAACAATCCTCCAGAAAATGCACAGTTAGAATTATTTGTGAAATGGTTTCAAAGTTGTAGTTATGAGACAAAGAGACATATTAGTATGAAGTTACAAGAGATTATGAATCCCACATCTACCACACTTACACAACCCCATGTGAAGATTAAAACAAAAGGTTATCCAAAAGTTGACACATCTACTCGACATTTGCCTTCTGCTTTTGAGGTTGTCTTATTTGGTCAAGATAGTGCACACTCGATTGACAATGTTGTTACAGGACCGCCACTTAAGAAGCCAAATACCATACCCCAAAAGCGATCAGTATGCAATAGTCAAACACAACCATTGTCATATGTGAATTCAAAGAAGCCGCCTTTGAAGCTACCTATAAGTAGTTACAATATTAAATTTTGTATACTGTCATTTATATCGTAATTTGGGTGTAATTGTAATATGCATGTCTATAGGCCTAAACCCATTGTAGATGACTCTTGCTTAACACCAGAGTTTAACAAGTGGTTTCCTAAACATACGTTGATACATATTAGAGGGGGATGGTAATTGTGGTTTTAGAGCCATTGGATCATTGATGGGGTTTGGTGACAATGCTTAGGGCAAAGTACTCAGAGACTTATGGAAGGAGTTGAGGAAAGAATCTGTCATATACGAGTTAATATGAAATGGTAAGGAACGGGTACAACATATTAAGTATATGTTGGACTATTTTGAGGAGTTCCCACTTCAAGATAGGTGGATGACTATACCAAATATAGGACACCTCACTGTATCTTGTTATAATGTAATCCTCATGACTTGGTCAGTGCATCAGTCAGTTCCATTTTTTCCATATGAGACTGCTCCATTGGATTCTATCTATAGCCGTGAGATTTCTATTAGATTTGTTAACCACAACCACTAGATTAAGGTAAATCAATTAAGATGTCATATATATGTTTGCTAACTATTCTTTTCACATAACTTGATTTATTTATTTTTTTTTATTTTACAGGTTTATTTGGAAGGTCAACACCCTATGCCACCAGTTGATGAGCATTGGTTGAGATGTGCAACCATAACTGCATCAAATTGGCTTATGCCATATCAGGATCCTATACGTCATTTTAGATATGAAGCTGGTGTAGCGGACCCTTATGATAATGACCCTATATTTATTGAGTAGCTTTTTGAAGCATCATATTGGTGACATTAAGTATTATTTTCATTTCCATTATACCATTGGCAATTCTTGTTTTGTAACATAAATATAATAACTATGATGGCTTTTTGCTCATTTGGCTTCTTTCAGCACAAAAAATGTTATGAGATAATTTGTGCTTAATTTCCCATTTGTCCTATTGTGTTTTCAACGAAAGATGTGGTGATTGCAAGAACTTGAAATTGCGAAAAAAGTGTTAACAATTTTAGTAGAAGCATAAATCCATATGAAAAGTCAAATATTTATAAACACTATTAAAAAAGTCAAGCTGAAAATCAACTATAAAGTAATACTACAAGTATTAGGGTGTACCAGGGGTATTTTTGGTAGTTTTATAAGGTGTACTTAGTTAATTTTACATTTTGATTAAAATATTATGGTGTACTTAGATCATAAGGTGTTCTTAGTTAATTTTAGGGTTCATTTAGCAGCAGTCTTTATTTTTTATATTTTACCTTAATCCATTCATTTGAAAATGCCACTAAATATGCTAATGCTATCATGTCCTTCTGCATTCTCTCAACCTCCCCCCTCTCTCTATCTCCTCGCCACTTATCGCCATTCGTCGCGTCGTTAAAGACCTCACCACGATCTACGACAATCTCTCTCTATATCTCTTCCTCATTCCTCCTATCTTGTCGAATTTGCTCCAATTGTCCCAACTATCATCGAATATAGATTTTTTTTTAATCAAATAGAAACTTCATTAGATAAACTTCAACGGTACAATCAAAGACATCTAAAATACCAATCTCAATAGGGCAACAAACTAACATGCTAAAAGCAAAACTAATGTAGACAAAAACCGCACTAAAACTACGAGCCCGCATCACCACAATTAGTCATAAGCCCAAACAAAGCTCACAAACCCAACATAGTCAAAACCCTAAATCAACTCATGAGCCTACCACTATCACCTGAAGAAGCGTCGTCGCCGCCACACCCATCATCGCATCCGTAACAGATATGGGGAAAATATGATTCCAGTGATCTTCCTGCGCATAAGAGCGAAAAAATAAACGAAAACAATAACTTTGCCAAAGAACAATTAGGTGATTTGCAACAACCTCCATCACAGATGATGTAGAATCAAATTTAAAGAACATGAGCAACGTCAGGGAGCGGGTTTTAGGAGTAGGATTTGATTGGGAACACAGACTAAAAGGGGTGATGAAGAACTTCAATTTAACCATGGCTTAGAAGAAACCACTACAAGAGATTTTTTATTCAAAATGCCCCAGTGGACTTATTCACCAACCTAAAAGGAAAAGACTAGAAGAGATGAGGAGGAGGAGGGACAGTGACGCTTCTTCCTCCTTGCCTCTCTATGGACTTTTCCTTTAGGACTCATAGAGCGAGAGAGTGGCTGTTAATTGGCACACTCAAATATTGTCGGATTATCATTGAATATAGTTGAAACTCCTTTAGTCTTTGTCGAATCTCCTTTCACGTGCATCTCGTTAGCACTACCACCACTGACCACAACCAATTCGATTTTGTAATGAAACGATCGTTGTCGGTAGAGCCTCCATTAGGTCGACATCAATCATGGAAGTTTCCTTGCCGATGTAATTAGTTCGGTGGCCAATTTTGACCAACAAACCGACCAATTCAAACCATTCTACCATAACTTTAATGAGTCCACTTATGGTTAATTAGTGAGTCAACTCATTACTCTTGATACTAAGTCATGTATCGATGTATTTATTGGAGATAATATTCTCTAAATAATATCTTCGTTGTTCTTGTTATTTAGCCACTCTAGTACTCGCCCCAACTACTAGTATCTTTATATATATTTTTTCTCTTATGCGGACATCCGAATGTTATTATTGTGCGAACAATATGTATTTTCTACTACCCCTCTCTGCTTTCTTACTTGTTTACAAGCATTGGAGGAGCCAATTAAGGCCCACAAGGGTCACTTGACCCTTCTCAACATTTTGAAAATATAATATTTATCTATGTTATCCAAGTTGTTTTTATAGCTATACTTACTATTGACCCTTCTCACAAATGTAAATTGTCTACAATGAACATGAATATGATCTATATTTGTTTTCATGTCTTCATATGTCATTTATATGTGTGTGTCATATATTTTATTTGATTTTCTCATTCTATCTAAAATCAACTTTTGAGTCCGCATAAGAGAAAAACTATATATATATATATATATATATTGCCAAAGTAAACATTCTGAAGAATTGGTATGAGCAAAAGTTACAACATGGAGTGTGTAGAGGGGGGAGTTTACATGAAAACTAAGAGTGTGTTTGGTTCATGGGAAATGAGGCTTGAGAATGGGAAATCTGATAAGTCTAAGCATGGAAAATGTTCATCTCTCTTATGGGAAAATACGAGGGGAAATGAGACTCTCCACCCCCTTGGGTTTCATTTTCCCTTTCCATCGGAAACTAGGCCTATCATTAAATGTATTTTTTCACGACTATTTTTCATGATCATTATGTTCTCAATAACTATTTAGAATTACAATATAACATTAAATGCATTCTTCTTTTATTTTATTTAGTTCATATTTCTAATATGAGTATAATTGAAAACTTAAACAAAGTTTGTTTTACATTCCTTCACGAATCAAACATTGATAAGGAAATAAAGTAGTATTTCTTGATTACTTTCCTAACATTATTAAATATTATAATTTATAAATAATTCTTTTATTTTTTATCCCTTGCAAATGATTTCCCTAAACCATTAAATTCTTTATTCGAACCGAACGGACTTAAGGGTGGGCAAGACCTCGAGGCATGCAATCAATACATTCAACTTCAACCGGGCCGTGCGCAGATTTACGAGGTGGGCCCTCCTTTTAACGCATTTTCTTAATTAAATTACAAACCACGAACCAAATTTATGTTTTTGTTTTGGAAGTATGTGACTGAAAAATGCATGATTAGTGAGAGATAAGTAAGATTAACGTACAAGTTAGTGGGCCTCACGTGCTCATGTTTATGTGTGTCTTTTTGATGAAGATGTTTATGTGTGTCTTCCTTTTGCTAAGTTTAATTGTTTTTTTTTTAAT